TCCGTGACCAAATTTCAAATCCCAAAATGTGCAATAAAATTGCAATTTTGATGCAAATTCACAAAAAAACGAACTCAACCTGTATCTTGTTCATTTGTATCGCCTTAACATTTTTAGCATTGAACAGGCTATTTTCTTTTTATCGTAGGACAACCAAAGTTTGACACACGGACACACGAACACACGGAGGGACAAGACGGAACCATAAGTGGTCTCTTTCCTTTCAGAAAAGAATGCCCACTAAAAAGATTGTCATCAGAAGATAGCTAGAGGAGACCAGGAAGATTCAAATGAGTGAAAAAAACCGCCTCAATTTCGCGAAACTACAACTCGCCATCCCAATGAGGTCACGTTTCATGGGCCAAAAGCAACAGCAACCATGGCAACGCACGGCGTCAACAGATCGATCTTTGAAACTTACACGTTTGCGTCGTGGGGGATCCCAAGAGGTTCTAGGCACGTTTCTAAAATGAGGTCACGTTTCATGGGCCGAAAGCAACAGCAACCATGGCAACGCACGGCGTCAACAGATCGATCTTTGAAACTTACACGTTTGCGTCGTGGGGGATCCCAAGAGGTTCTAGGCACGTTTCTAATAAGACCTACTGTTCTCAAGTGCACTCGATCTTCCCCACTAGACGTCGAGGGACATTTGAAGAGTTTTTGCTCCACATATAATGAGCATTTTCTCCATTCTCCTCTTCCTACTCGTCCAAGAGGCCGTCTTTGCCAAATACATGCTCCTGCCTGGAAACTACATTGGTAAAAACTCAATCACCGAATTCCCGGAATGGAAATCGTGCAGATGTGCAAAAGCCTGCGACAAGTATACGGAAATCCGTGGTCATTTTACACTTCCTGGTAACATTCCAGTGATACTTTTTTTTCCTCATTTCAGGGAAGAAAGGTGCCAAGGGTTCACCCTGAAGAAGGGTGATGGTAGTTTCATTTGTCAGCTCCTCTCCAAGAACTCCACAATTGCAGTAGATCCTGATAAAACATCCAGGGTCTCTCTTTCAGGTAAGGGTTCCACCTTGTCCAAAGGATCCATGAAGGAGAGTACCAATACGCATTCGCCCATTTACACCTGTATCATGTACATGCGCGAGCAACATCACATATTCAACCTGTATACCTCGTATATGTCGTAGGGTTTCGTGGGATGGATTAATGAAATGGCGAATGGATAACTGACTGGATAAGCTGACTCCCCAGCAGTAAATTCTACAAAATAAATTAATTAAGAGAAGATCGCTGACGTTATGGTAATCAATCGTAGTTGTAGATAGGGTTGGAAACGATACAACGACCAGAAAATGCGATTTGTCAGTAAAGGACTGGCATTGCTTCCTTTTCCTTCCCCATGTATTAAGAATTGCTATTCCTATCTACGGACATTTGTACTGCTATTCAAGGAATATAACTTTAAACCTAAATCTTTTCACCATATTCTCATGTTCTCAACATCTTCCTTGTTCATTTTATTTATTTAAACTTGGATTGAATGAAACCTATCTTTTTGTTTTAAAATATTGTTCGATATCCAGGAACCAATTCTGAATTCTCCTTACTGAAAAAAAAAGTTGCCAAGAGTGACTACAAAAACAATATTTATATTGTAATTTGAATATTAGACGCATAATTAGCCTGGAAATATATCACCTCAATTCTTTTACGTCCGGAAAACGAATGTCTGATTCCCACGCTTTAATTTAATCCTTCATTTCCTACATTATTACTACAGAAGCATGTGAAATCCCCTGTCTTGCAATTCAGAATGTTAACCTCAGCTAAAAAATGGAAATCATTGCCTAAAAAGCGCTTCTCGGGTGTTGCACTGCGCAAGATAATTTCGCATTAGTGAACAATTTGAATCGAACACGTGCAACGCTCAAGATTTCCGAAGAGTTGTGATGGAGTCAGTACAGTCACGGATCTTCTTCGCAAAAGATTTGACAAAACATTCACGTACATGGTACATTCATGCAAACATTGACCTCACCATTTTTTAAGACTTCAAGAACTATACAATAGTTTACGCAACAAGAACGTCAGAGATATAGTGTCAACAAGCTAGGAGGTTCTATGTCCAAGATGTTTCATTTCTTCCTTGCAGAAACAATTGCTCCAAAAGAATTCGAATTTGCGATGGTCACGGGGAAAATTCACTTTCTGAGAGCGATGGGGAAAGGACAATACACGAAAGCAAAGAGCACTTGCAAAGGCGAAGGTTTGGCTCACCTCGTCATGGACGATCGAGGTCAAGAGTGGCACGATTACGTCCTTGAATTCATGGAGTCGCATTTCCCATCCCAAGACAAGTTTTGGATCGGAGCTGACGACATTGATTGGAATAATGAGCATTCCTGGGTTGATGGTGAGGAAGATTATCGATTTTAAGATCATGAATGGTTGTTGATCTTATTTTTACTTAATGGGTGGCAAAGAGAACAGGATATTAAGGTTCTTCCGAATGTGGATATAGTTTATCTGCTGCTTATAAGATCAATCCTAGTATGAAGGCAATTAAATTGTCCCAGCAAACTTGACATGCTCATGTACCAATGGAATAGAAGAACTGATGAATATTCCATGCAAGCTGACCTCATGCACTATCAGATTGTATTCGTTGCAGGCACATTGGTGGCTGATTCAATGAAGACCTTCTGGCTTCCGGGAGAGCCGAATTTCAAGGAGGGAACACAGGATGGGAGATGTGTCGCGATGGGGAAGTCTCCAGAGTCTCCAGGGGGGATGTGGGAGGATGTCTCCTGTTTGAAAACCCTGCCTATCACCTGCGAAGTCCGTTTCCCCTAACTCCTACCCCTGAAACCCGCGAAAGATGTGAAGGCAGCTCTTAGTATTTGGGGAGTTTTCTTGTGGGAAAAGGAATTACACATAATTCTATTCACTGTTGATGACATGGTTGATGAGTTATTGAATTTGAAGTCAGAGAGTTTACCTTCTACTATTTCATGTATAGGGGAATGTGTTACTGTCGAAACTTTTTATTTCTCCTACGGCCGATTTTCTTGCCTTTCTTTCAAATAGGGGTTTGTGATACGTATCAGAAGTACTTGCACAGAAAAATGTATATATCTAGTTAGCTCCATGTAATTTTCCCCCTTTCTACTCTCGGAAAAATCATGAGTTTAATTACTATGATAGTCATGCTCATGGGAAGATATTTCGACCGCTTTCGAAGGAATCGTAGATATGAAACGACTTGGTTTGTAAAGCCTAGCCTATTTCTTGGTTGTTTTTTTTATATGTGAACTCAGTCGTGGAGCACTTCTGTTAACATTACTAACAGAAGGAGCAATAAACTTAGAGGATGAAAACAGAAACGTTTCTTATGTAGTTTATTTCTGTAAAAATGCTATTTTCCCCTCCAAGCTATGACCAGATTCAAAGTGGATACAGAAAAGACCTGATTCCTAAACATGCAAAAGATATTAAAGTTAATGTAATGCACAACATCTGTTCCAACATCCTTGTTGCAAGCATTAAGAAATCGACCAATTAATTACAGCTGATAGGTGTTCGTCATACATGTGTTCGTTTCCGTACAAATTCGTAGAATCATTTTTTTAATCATCAGTTTCCTTTCCTTAGTGCCCATTAGGTGCAATAACGTTAATTGAAAGTTAAGCAATGATAGCTGTTTCTTAATCTTGCTAGACCTAATCATTCTATATTTGGATTGTTCCAACTGTCGATTGAAACATGAAAGCATATACGACATCATGACCGTAGGGCGAGGCTGACCTTCATCCATTTGCTTTTTGTTCTCAATGAGCATATTACCTTAATCGTGATTCCCGATTTCTATTGATGATTTAATGCCTAAAACTTTGAGAGTGCTGGGGTCGGTTCCGCAACTGCTAATGTCACGGTTTCGCAACTCTCTCCAAAATTTGCATGATAACTGGGACGAATTGACTGAGTTCAATTATACACGGATGGCCACTGGCTCGCCTACATTGTTATGATGGAGGTTCTTCGTCCTGGTTTATTGTGGTCATTTTTGAAAGACTTTAATTGCCCGATGGAAAAGGGGAAGAGGATCATTTTATGCAGACTGGAATTCTTTGTTGGCCTCCGTGGTGGACTAAGAGAACCTATTACATTCCAAGGAATTATCGAACTTCGTATTATTTCGGTTCTGTTCAAATGGAATGTCAATTCTACTCGTGATTCATGGTACTTTTCTAGCGACGATGTAAAGGAAGCTATATCCCGTGAGGGGGGGGGGGGTGGAATGTCCATGCATTGAAAATTTACAAAGGAATCCTGAATAAATATTTTTCCCCAATAAACTTTGACTGCGCTTCAATCTTCTCGCACCGAGAAGCACTAAAAAGGATCTGCATCACTTACATCAAGACCTTTCTTCAACCCCTTCCACCTAGAGAAAATTCAAACGTCTCGTGTTCTTCCTCCTCCGTTGTTTGGATCTTCTCTTTCTAATGCAAGAGACATTATTGCGCTGAATTCATGGGATGAGCTGAGATTGAAACGGTGGTTTGCGGTGGCTGCTAGATTTGGTGGAATACAGAGATATCTCATCCAACATCCATAATTAACATGATGGCGGCCTGCTTGTATGCCATGCTTTCTAAAGGCATTATCTTCTCGAAACTAGTCCAGACCGCAAGAGGAACTCCTCATAGGCCTAATGTTCCTCGACCGGTCTGAAATGGTTCATGAAATTCGAGGAATATCTCCATTCGGTCTGACGTTACACGCAATCTTTAAATGGGCCATGAGAAAGAGAGAATTAGAATGCGATTGGCCTAATGTTACACGTCCTCAACAGGGTGTCTCGAAGAGCAGGGATTAATCATTGTTGGCCTAATTGGTCCGTAGTTTGAAGGTTGAGTTTCTTTTGAATGGAAAAAGGTAGGCCTAGCCCTGACTCGAAGACAGTCCGACGGTAAGGCCTAGGCCTAATTGGCCCTGTTAGTCGAGAATTGTGTTTCTTTTGTGACTCGTGGAATATGGCAGGTGCGCAATGATTTATGCTACATTTTACCTTTCCCCAGAAAAAAAATTGTTAAGACCATGTGGGAGGCAACTCTATGCCTAATTATTTTGAAGGTAAAAATCCTGAATGACAATTCCTTTCCCCGGACCTTGATCACACTTCATTTTTCCCCTTCGAGAACATGCAACAAATTATCACATACCAGGCAGAGATGTTGCAAGAGAATGGAATAAGAGTAATGGGAGATTTTCTCTTCAGACGCGTTAGCATGCTTACACCCGAGCCCATGTCTCACTATCTCCATAAAGCACCCCACCATTGCTGCCTCGATGTGAGAAGAGGTGAAGATGGACATCAAGGTGTTGAAGGAGCTAACAAGATTTTCTTTCTGCATGGCTAGCAATTCTGATGTGTCATACTGAACTTGTGTGTGGATTCCACTTTCTGCCTAGCCCATGAGAGAAGAAAAGCCCTCTCGTACATTATACTCGTTTGACCACAGCAAAGACAGAAAAATAAAAGTTCTTGACTGTTGTTCTCCAGCCTGAAGAAGATGCGATAGTTCTAGTTGCATGTGGCTGACAATATGAGAATATCTGTCAGACGCTTCTCCCGTTTCAAAGTAGGGGAAGGTAGGGCAAAATGGGGCGAGGGGCAAAACGGGACAACGCAGATTTTAACCACACCATACCCGATATCTAGCGGCTATTTACCCCATTATAAGCGCCCATGACCGGTGCAAATTTTCAGACCGGCGCTCTTTAAAGTAGTTTTATAAACACACGAAGAAAAATAAGAAAACTTCGTCTTTTCTAATTTTGCTTCGAATTTTTTCATCAGCGAAACAAAGTAGCATGAGAGCATTGGGGGCTTTCGATATTTTTTCTGGCTGAAGGTGAAAATGTGAACTATTGCATGAAGTCATCATTTTTTTGCATTGCTCACTAACCTCTTGATTGGCAGTGTCCTTACTATAGACTGTCTGATGGGGCAAAACAGGGTGACGGTGATTGGGCAAAATGGGGCGGTATAGCTCTATATCTGGCTGGAATATCCATCACAATGGTGAGGCTCAGGCCGACGCGATGTGTTACTGCTCAGATTCTTTCTCTCGCTCTAAGCGCAGTGGAGGTTGGGGTCACCGGAATTCAGCTAATGACAGTTGTGCAGGCATGGAACACGAAACGGATATGGACGTGTTTTTCTGTGACATCAGTAAATTTACATCTATGAAAAATACATGGATAACAACTTGAAACAGCAACTATTGTTTTGCCTTAAAGTTTCATTGTTGTTTCCGTTGTGTTGCCTTAGTAATTAGGCATGTCATGAAGATATGGGAAAATATGAGGGAAAAAAAAACGCGGTTTAGTTGTAGACGTTTCATTGCTCTTTCTGTTCTTTGACCTTTGTAAGTAAGAATGAAGTCCTCAAGAAACGAGAGAAAACATCTTGTAAGTTGTGGATGTTTCGTTGAGGTCTCTGTTCTGTGAACTTTGTAAATAGGCATAAAATGAAGACACCGGAAAACATGTGGATAATAATTAGTTTTCCATTTGTAGATATTTCATCAATGTTACTGTTCTGTGGCCTATTTAAATAGGTATGTATTATTAAAAAAAATTGTAAAACACTATCTGGAGGATCACCCCGTTTTGCCCTGCAGAGGCACCCCATTTTGCCCAAGGGTGGGGCAACAACTTTTAGAATTGATTGGGGGAAAAAACCGTCGCTGATTTCGCGATGAAGTTGAATCCTATTCGTAGGTAAGACATGACAGATACCGCATACCAATCCGCAACGTGCTACGCCAACTCCTTGGTACTAAATGTTGGCAATTTCCCTGAACTGCCCCGTTTTGTCCCACCTACTCCTACCGGCTGAACGGTGGTGTTTCGTGATAGAAGAACGTCAATGGGAAGGATCATAACGAGATTGAGGGTTTGTGAAACAAAAGTCGACTTCGGCTAAATATACACACGAGTAAAAAGGAAAAGGGGTTTGGTTTTAAAAGAGAAGAGCCAGGTACTTTTTGAAAAGTAATTAGTCCAAGTTTCAAAATCTTAACTACGAAAACTGACGTAAAAAATCTTTTTTCTAATTTCACTTATTCATTTCATGTTCTATTGCAACTTTTTTGCAACTATTCACTTCCCACTACAACTGTGCATCTGAAGGCTAAAGGAATAAAGAAAGATCCCCTATATGCCTATAATTGGTATGATGCAGAAGTATCTCGAGTTATTCAGTTGTAATATTTTTGGATTCACAAATTCAATCAACCCAGAAGATTGCACGTCAGTCATAAGAAACTGAGTCATATATTCAGGCAATGAAGAATTATAGGCAAATTCGGCACGTTTTCACGGACTCCTCGTCCAGAATTTGCTGGAGTCTCATTCTGCTGGGTTACATCAGGAAACGGGACTATCTTGGAATTCCAAAGCATTCCCGTACGCTGTACGTGGGATAAGATCGGGTATTGCATGAAATATGTAGAAAACCCCCTGCAATGGCAATAGCGTGAGAATCGCCTAATTGGCGGTTGGGCGCCATCTCGTGCCTATCGGAAGAATCTATTTTCTGTGGAAATAATTTGGATAATTCCATGTTGAAAAACCTTTGCGACTATGATGAAGCAACGGTAAAAAAGGATTTGCACTTAATAGCCTTGAAACGACATCGCAAATCCATTAATGATCACCACATGCTGAAAATGAGGATGCTAATCTTCAAGGTTTCTTATCGATTCTTTACAGAAATCTTAACTTCAACCATTTCGCAACATTTAAAACTTTCGTTAATGTTGAAACAGCGTAGTTTTGCCGAAGGGGCAGTTAATATCTTTATTAGGGCCTAAATATAACATTCTATATTTTTTCGTGTTGGTGGCTTTTAGCTTTGGCTTTCACGAAAACACCGGCATGAGGGTTTTCTGTTGATGAACTAGAGCATCCTTCGGGGCAAAACCCACCCACGTACGAGGGCCACTCAATAAGTAATCTACCTGAATATGAAAGGGATGAGCAACAGGCCTGTGCCTGCTGTGACATGTTTCGACAGGTCTCGTGAGTGACCCACCACTATACCAGCTCAGTGGCTCAAGTCCGTTCAAAGTGGTAGCGCATTAGATTTATTTTCCTGGGTCTGTGTCATGGATTTGACGAAAGTTGAACATCGTTCAGTGATCGAATTCCTCACCAAAGAAGGGAAAGCACCTAAGGAGATTCATGAACGTATGTCTAACGTTTATTGTGTGTCTTCGCCTTCTTATTATCAAGTTAAATTTTGGAGCAAGCAGTTTAAGTGGGGAAGAGAGTCAATCGAAGATGACCCAAGGTCGGGGCGCCCTGTGGAGGCTTCTGATCAGGAAATTTGTGACAAATTGGAGAGGGCGATACTGGAGGATCGTCGCACCAAAGTCTCTGTTTTAGCTCATGAACTAGGGATTTCAGAGGGCACAGTGATTCACATTATTCATGAAAAATTACACATGTCCAAAGTCAGTTCTCGATGGGTCCCGAGAATGCTGACTCCAGCTCAGAAGAAGAACAGATCTGACATCTGCAAGGAAAACTTGGAGTTTTCTAAGCAAATCGGGGAAACTTTTTTTCCCAGAATAATAACTGGTGATGAAACTTGGGTTCATCACTGGGATCCCGAAACCAAGCAGGAGTCCATGCAGTGGAAGCACGAGGGATCGCCAACGCCTCGCAAATTTCGTGTTCAGAAATCTGCAGGAAAGATTATGACCACTGTGTTTTGGGACAGCAAGGGACTACTGCTGCTTGAGTTCATGCCAGACAAGTGTACAATCACGGGCGATTCCTATGCTACCACCATGAAAAATTTACATGATGCCATCGAGGAAAAACGCAGAGGAAGTTGTCAAGGGGGGTCCTTCTTCTCCATGACAACGCGCCCGTCCACAAATCATGGAAAGTTCAGGCAGCAGTGAGGGAGTGTGGCTTTCAGGAGCTCAACCATCCTCCCTACAGCCCGGATCTGGCTCCTAGTGACTATTTTCTGTTCAGACACTTGAAAAAATTTTTGCTGGGAAAAAGATTTTCATGCAATGAAGAGCTGAAAGTTGCCGTTTCTGATTGGTTTGATGGACAAGAAGTTGACTTCTATTCCCAGGGAATAAAATCCTTGGAATCAAAGTGGAGTTGAAAGTTGTGTTGAAAGTGTAAGTTGAGTTAAAAGGTGACTACATTGAAAAATAAAGTGTTATTTTTCCCCTTGGATGTTTCTTTCTTATTCAGGTAGATAACTTATTGAGTGACCCTCGTATCTGTCAAAACATGACACATCGATACAACTCCATAATAACTGGAAACTGTTTAGGACTGCAATCGTTGGACAATTATTCTATATCATACCTCCGCTCTGAGGCATGGACCAAAACTTTGGATTACAACGCTATGAAAAAGAGGAATACTAAGAATGGTTGTACTGTGGTCATGGGCTCGTTCGCGTGGTAACAGTGACGTTCGTAGTATTGGTTTTTCCTCCATGGGAAAGAACATTAAAAACTCACAGGGAGAGTGGAACGGGAAATATACTGAAGGTATTGACTTCCTCGGCTATGGTGGTCGAACGGAAGAAATATTTATGTTCCACATGATTGACGGCCTATCTATTTTCCCAACTTCTCCCCTGTGTGCACAAGCGGAATGTGCCAGGTTTGTACGTGATTTATGAAACTTATTTTCTTCCCATGTAAGTTTAGTAGGCCATGTGCAGGGTCCGATGAGATGCTCATGCTGAATTCTTTCCAAAGACATCATGATTAACATATTTTTTTCCACAGACCACAAGTTTTTTCTTCCTCCAAAAACCTAGAACCTTTGTTTCTTTGTGCTATCTTCTGAAACTCGTTGCCCGCTAAATCTGAGTCTGGGGTAGAAAAAATATAAATGGATTTGTCGTCATTTCATCCCGAATTTGTGCCTTTGCAGATTTATTCCCGCTGTGAAAGGCAATGATGCACGGGAAGACATATTTCTTTCTTTTTCGATTACTCACACTCGAGAAAAAAGACGTAAAATAGGTACTTAGAATATCTAATTTCAATTCAGCAAAGAATCGACTTTGAAAATCAATTACTTATTCTAGTTCTTGCCATTGAAAGGCCACAGTAATTTCTGCTTCCCACGACAAGCCACCACTCACCATTCCCTAAAGACTCATTCATCCACTATCAGGGAAATCTCAAAAGTTTTCGTTCTCAAAAAGGAAAATGGACGTCATTTTCCTCCGCCAATTCATCTTAAGTGCCACACAGGCCGAGTATTTGCTCCTGACTGAAAGCTAAGCATTAATCATCCAAAGCAGAGCTTATCAAGAACGGAAAAAATGTAGGTAATACTCTCCGGCACCAAATAATTTTAGTGATAGGTCATTAAGTTGAACAACCGGAAACATTTTTCCCTTCAGAGGGTGGGATCGTTATAAGTGCTTACCCTGAAGAATGTTGACAAAAGGTTCAAGTATCAGCCTTTTAGGCAGAACACCACCATCGCTGATGATCGTGAGAGAGGTAAACCGATGCGGAAATAAGAAATGTCTTCTTACTATGTAAGTTTCTCGGGGGGCTTTAATAAATCATAGGTTAATATTCAGATGAGGGAGTAAGGGACAGGTCATCAAAGTATATATAGAGGAGAACAGGAATGATTTAAATGAGAGAAAGAAACGCCTCCATTTCGCGACACTACAATCCGCCATCCAAATGAGGTCACGCTTTATGGACTGAAATGAACAGCAACCATAGCGACGCACGACGTCAACAGATCGACATTTGAAGCTCATACGTTTGCGTCGTGGGGGATCCCAAGTGATTCGAGGCGCATTTCTAATAAGATCGACTGTACTCAAGTTCTCTCATTCTTCCCCTATATGTGACGTGCGAAATTTAAAAAGTTCTCGCCTCACAAAATGAGCAGTGTCTTCTTTCGCTTCTTCCTACTTGTCCAAGAGACCGCATTAGCCAAATACGTGCTCTTACCTGGAAACTACGTTGGAAACAACTCACCCAGTGAATTCTCGGTGTGGCAATCGTGCAGATGTGCAAACGCCTGTGACAAGTATCCGAAAATCTGTGGTCTTTTTACTTTCTGTTAACAGTTGAGTTTGAAATTCACATTTTTTGTCTCATTCAGGGAAGAATGGTGCCTAGGGTTCGCCCTGAAGAAGGGTGATGATAGATTCATTTGTCAGCTCCTCTCCAAGAACTCCACATTTGCTGTAGATCCTAATAAAACATCCAGGATCTCTGTTTCAGGTAAGGGTTATAGTTAGCGCTTTTCGGGTATCGCACTGTACATACATGATTTGGCATGTGTGGATAAATTTAATGGAACACATGTAAGTAGTGAGGCGGTCAATACAGCTCCCGATCTTCTCCGTAAATGATTTAGCAAAGCATTCGGTGTACGTGGCACAAACATGTAAGCATTGCTCTCATCATCAGATTTCAAGAACTATAGTTTATGCAACAAGAATGTCATAGATATTGTCTTAACAAGCTAGGAGCCTGTGTATCCAAGGTGTTTCATTCCTTCCCTGCAGAAACAGTTGCACCAAAAGAATTCGAATTTGCGATGGTCACGGGGAAGATTCACTTCCTGAGAGCGATGGGAGTAGGACCATTCAAAGCTGCAAAGACCACTTGCAAAGGCGACGGTTTGGCTCACCTCGTCATGGACGATCGAGGTCAAGAGTGGCACGATTACATTCTTCAATTCATGGAGTCGCATTTCCCATCCCAAGACAAGTTTTGGATCGGAGCTGACGACATTGATTGGGATAACGAGGTTTTTTGGGTTGATAGTAAGAATATTCACATTAGGATCATATGTGGGTGTTTGACTTTTCTTTTGCTTCATGGGTGTCAAAGAAAACCGTAGATTCCATACAGGCTGACCTCACACACTTTTGCATTGCTTTCGTAGCAGACACATTGGTGGCAGATTCAATGAAGACCGATTCAATGAAATGAAGGCTTCCGGGCGAGCCGAATTTCAAGGAAGGATCACAGCAAGCGAGATGTGTCGCGATGGGGAAGTATCCAAATTCTCCAGGGGGGATGTGGGAGGATGTCGCCTGTTCCAAACCCCTGCCTATCACCTGCGAAATCCGTTTTCCCTAACTCCTTCTCAATAAACGAGTTAAACGTGTGAAGGTAGCACCTTGTATTGGGGGGTTTCTTTCTGGATAGGGAATTGCAAATGATGAATTATATTTACCCTGTTGTTGAAAAGCTTTTGAAGTCGGAGAATTTAAGTTCTACTGGTTGGCCAAAAAAATCGTGCCTACAAATTGTCATTCGACATGTGAACACTGTGAACAAAACAGGAAAATCCATTTTGGAATTTTAGAAGCCATTTGAAAACATTTTTGAATCGTCAAAATGAGTGAAAAACAAGTGCATTTGCGTCTTGTGATGCGTTATGAGTTTAAAAAAGGATATAATGCCACGAATGCAGTAAAAAAACATTCGCGATATGTATGGAGAAAGTGCTTTAGCTATTCGAACCTATCAAAATTTGTTCAATAGATTCTGCGAGGGTAATTTTAGCATGAAGCACCTGCGATCTAGACCAATGTTCCAAAGTTGATGACAACAGAAATCGGACTTTCATCGAAAAGAATCCAGGGCAGACATCAAGAGAGGTTGCAGAGATACTTGGGATATCAAAATCGAATGTGCCGAAACATCTGAAGTACACATGGATATTCATTAAGTATGACGTTTGGGTCCCACATCTGCTCACGGATAAGAATTAAATGGGGTGTGTTTCTGCATGTGTTTCCTTACTCGGTTGTATGGAGAATGATCTATTATTGGAAAAAGTAGGGACAGGAGATAAAAAATCGGTACTTCACAAGAATGTATAGAGAAAACGACTGTGGTCACTATGACTGGAGGCCCCCCTCCCCACTTCAAAGCAAGATTCGCAACAAAGAAAGGTGATGCTTGCGTTTGGTGGGATTTCAAGGGAATCTTCTATTATGAGCTGCTCAGCTCCAGCGAAATCATCAATGCGGAGAAGTATTGCACCCAACTGGAGAATTCGAAGCAGGCTATTGTCCAGAAACGTCCAGCTCTGGCGAATAGGAATCAAAACCTTAAATGTTTTATCAAGATGGCATCGTGCAAATACCAAGAAGATGAGAAAAGGTTATTAAACAAGGGGAAACAAGGGGAATTGGTCACGCCTACCAGTAACTGGCACATATAAATGAAACCACTGTTTTTGCATTACAATTTATTATAAAAATGCTTTGAGAGTAAACTGCGTTACATGGGCATGACAACGCGAGAATATGGTTCATGCGACTATAAACGGCTTGAGGAAGAGTGGAATCAGATGATCGAAGGACGTCTATGAGAAGGATCGTTGAAGAGCTTAATCATCAATTTTCGGGTTTGGCCTGTAATCATCTCCATGCCATTCCATGGCAACTGACCAGATTAAGAAGAAATCTGTCTCATTATAGATGTTACTATCAATTCTAATGCTA